GTTTGTTTTGCTTTGGTTTCAGTGCTGGGGATCAAACCCAGGGCCTCTCACAAGCATATACTCTACCACTGAGCTACTTCCCTAGCTCTTCTTTAAAAATTTGAGACAGGGTCTCACTAAGTTAGATAGGCAGGCCTCAAACTTGTGATCCTCCTGCCTCAACTTCCCATGTAGCTGGGATTACAAGCATGTTCCAGCTAGCAGTCCATATTTTTTCCTGGGGAATCTTTTTGTTTACTGTCTCACAAGGACTAATCAGAAAGTAATTGAGACTGCACTGATTTCCTGAGCAATTATTCAGTTCACTGTCTTAGAACAACTGTGCAGAATGTTAAAAGAGGGTAAAATAAGTATGAATATTATTACTACTCAGTTTTATAACTGTTTCAATGTAAAGATTAGTTTCGGGGGGTGTTTTGCCTTGGATCTAGTTTTAGTAAGAGAAACTGCTATATGGATGAATTGAGGTTATAAGACAATTTTTTTTTTTTTGCTCAGAACCTTAAGGCAGCACTTACTAGTTATCTATTTTTGCATAACAAAACATTCTATAACTTTGTGGTTTATTGTTGCAGGCAAGAATAGATGTTAACATAAGTGGATTAAAATATGATGAGGATATTTGAAAAATCTCAAAATATCTTTCAACAAGATACTGACTACTCATAAAGGGAAAACTTATGATTGTATGATAAAGAAACCACCTTAACCAAATGGTCACTAGCAGTAAGAGAAAGCAACATCATATACCCCTTCATATGATGAACTGAGAATGGGATATCATCTCTCTGATCTTCTTGCCCAAAATGCATGATCTCAATCTAACTATGAAAAAACATCAGAGAAACCCAAATTGAGGGACATTCTGCAAAATAACTGATCAGTAATTCTTCCAAAGTGTCAAGGAGACATGAGACAAAGACAGACTGATGAGCTGTCACAAATTGGAAGACACAAAGGAGACACAGTAACTAAATGCAAACTGGTATCATGGATTGGATTCTGAGTCAGAAATGGATATTCATGGGAAATCTGGTAAAAATAGAATAAAGTTTATAGATTATATAGTACTTCATCAATGTTAATTTTCTGATTTTTAAATATAATTATACATTGGTTATTCAAAATGCCAATGTTTGAGGAAACTGGATGAAAAGTATATGGGAAACTATTACAAAACCTTTATAATAATCTACAATTATTTCAAATTGCAACATTCACATGGCAAAAATCCAGGAGAGGAAGTCTAGAGGAGGTGGCTTCATCAGGTGACTTGACAGATCAAGCTAGTGTCAGAGCCTGGACTTGAATTGCTGTTGGGTGGGGATGAGGCTGGGGTATGGGGGGTGGCAGGTAGACACCTGCCTCCAGGCCCAGGGAAGGGCATCCTCTCACCTCTACATGCCTTTCATTTCTTGGGTCAGATGCCCTGTAGAGTAGTTAGGGTAGGGAGGGAAGAAGACCTGGGTTTGAGAGGAAGTTGGGGAAACCTGGTGGAGAGTCCTGTGGTCTCTGCCTTTCCCTTAGGCCGTCCACACCTGTCTGTGAGGTGGAATAGATGGACATGAACTGGCAGATGCCACAGCTGCTGTTTCTGGCTTTGGTGACTGCTGAATGGGGTGACAAGCCCAGGATTCCATGGGCTGGGATGGATGTACTCAATATCTGTGTAGATACTAAGCACCACCAGACAAGGTAAGTTTCATGACTAGGTGAAGATGAACTGTGGTCTGGGAGGAGGAGGTGGCTGCTACTGACAGGGAAGAAATTAGAGGGATGGGAAAGTAAGTTGTGAAAGGTCATAGAGGCATTAGGTGATCTTGGGGGGCCTCTCCAAAGGAGAACACCAATCTATAATAGTGTATGATAACAAGTCCCCCCTGTGAGCCACATACTTTCCTTATACCATGTCAGTAGATATTCCCCAAAGGGTTACTTGGTATGTGAATGGTGGTCTCCATTTTCACAAATGAGGAAATAGGTCCTGAGGGACACAAGCACAGGTGGGTATTAAGAGAGGGGTTAGTTTAATTATGTGCCATTCCTCAGAAGTCAGTGGCAGGGAGAAAAGGAGACAGGTTCCTCATGGTCATGATGCAGCAAACGTACAAACAAGCCAGGTGCCCTACCCCCATTAGGCACTTAAAAGACAGAGACAAATCAAATACGCTGGGAAGACTTCCCAGTAAAGGGGCCATTGATCTTGGCCCTGGAAGATTACTGAGAGTTTTCCAGGAAGACAAAGCAGGAAAGGGCAGCCTGGCAGAGGACAGCATGTACATAGGTCAGAGGACAATGGCACACGCGGTGGCAAGGCTCATGTGGGCAGAGCCAAGGATGATGCTGTTCACACAGAAAAGGAGATGAAGCCTGGACTCCCATTTCACAGGAAAGACTACTGAGGCAGCTCAGGGAATCTGAGCTTGAATTTGAACCAATCTCAGGATTGATGCCTGCTGTTATGGTTTGAATCTGTAATGTCCTCTCAAAACCTATGTGTTGAAGACTTGGTCCCCAAAGCAGCAATATCTAAGGGATGAGGTTTTGGGGAAGTGATTGGATCAGGAGAGTTATATCCTCACCAGTGAATTAATCTATTTGAAGAATTAGTCATCTGAATAAACTACTGAGAAGAGGTAGAAACTGTAAGCAGGTGGGACATGGTGAGAGGAAGTAGGACCCTGGGGGCATGTCCTTAGGGACTATATCTTGTCCCTGGTCCCTTCTCTCTGATTCCTGGCTCTCATGAGGTGAGCAGCTTCTCTCCACCATGCCCTTCTGACATGATGTTCTGTCTCACCTCAGGCCCAAAGCCAGCTAACTGGACTGAAACCTCTGAAGCTGGGAGCCAAAAGAAATCTTCATCTTCTAGGTTGTTCTTGTCAGGGATTTTGGTCACATTGATGAAGAGCTGACTAACACACCAGCATTTCATTCCGTTGGGTCTCCTCCTTTGTTCCCCGTGAGGTTTTACATGGTAGAGGGCTGGTGATATTCCAAGGGAGAGACTGTGGTATGGACAGGCTCCATGGGCTTGAACTGAAGGGAAGGAAGCCCAGAAGCCCCATGATATCTGAGTCACTTTCAACACTTTATTTGTTTTTTTAAAAGTCATGACAAACTCTACAATAACATAAAATTTTTGGTTTTAACCACACAGTTCAGTGACATTGAATACGTGGATGAGCATAAGTATGCTCATATTGCTGCACAGTTGTCACTACCATCCATCTCCAGAACCTTCATTCTCCAAAATTAAAACTGAAACACCATCCACTTTTTTTTTTTTTTTGATATTGGAATTGAACCCAGGGATGCTTTAGCATTGCTGCACCCCCAGCCATTAAAAATTTTTTTTTTTTTTTGGTATTTGTAGATGGATAGCATGCCTTTATTTTATTTGTTTATTTATTTATTTATTTTTACTTGGTGCTGAGGATCAAACCCAGTGCCACACACAGGCAAGGCAAGTGCTCTGCCAATGAGCTACAGCCCCAGCTCCCATTTTTGTTTTTTTATTTTGAGACATGGTCTTGATAAATTGCCCAGATAGGACTCAAACTTCTCCTGCCTTAACTTGCTGAGTAGCTGGGATTATAGGCATAGGCATGCACTCCTCATTTGCTTTTTTTTTTTTTGGAGGGGAGGGGTTACTCGGGATTGAACTCAGAGTGCTTTACCATTAAGTGCTATATCCATAGCACTTCTTTTTTTTTTTTTAAATATTTATTTAGTTGTAGATGAACATACAGTATCTTTATTTATTTTTATGTGGTGCTGAGGATCGAACCCACTGCCTCACACATGTGAGGCAAACACTTTACCACTGAGCTACAGCCCCAGCCCCCCATAGCACTTCTTATTTCTTAATATGAAGGTAGGGTCTTGCTAAGTTGTCAAGTCCCGCCTTAATTGCAATCCTCCTGCCTCAGCCTTCCAAATCACTGGGAATACTGGTATGTGCCCCTACACTCAGCTCTCATTTGCCTGCAAGAGTTATCTGGAAACCCTCCTCTTTGCCAAGAAATGGCTCAGACACAGAACTTTGAGAGAGTTGGGTGTTTATAACTCTGAATAACATGGGCAATATGAGAGTGGCCACTTTGGTTGAGTTCCTTCTATAGGCCAAATATATATGCTTTCCATTATATCAACTTTTTTTTCAGAGGCAGACACCACTGACTCTAGCTAGCAGATCAAGCATGATGCGCTCAGGGTTTTGCAGGGTGATCAAGAGGAGGGAGATCCAAGGAAGAACATGTATGGAGTAGGGGATCCCTGAAAGCATGTCTTGAGTCAGCCAGTACCTATGTAGGCCAGGTTGTTGGAGAGGGGTAGGCATTTCCTTACAGTTTTTCCTGTGTGCCTAGACTTGCCTTTTTGCCCCTCTCACTTTGCCAAAGATGCAAGGGCTCATCTCAGAAATTGTAAGCAATTGGCTCTTGATCACTCAGCTCTTTTGAATCCTAGCCTAGAGTAATTTCTACAGAGAAACCACTTTCATTGGCCTTACTGACCTTTAGTTTGCCTTTCTGGGATTACCGCAGGCTCCCAAGTTCAAATCAATTGCAGGCTGTAGCTCCTCTGTTTCCCCAATGCTTTTAGGACCTACATGGGGTCCCTAGTCTGGAACTCCAGACACTGGGAGAGCCAGAATGGCCCTTTGACCTCCTCTACCACCACAATGACACTGGTCATCAGGACAGAGTGCCCAGCCTTCGTACTAACCTGCTCCAAATTTAGGTAACCTCAGTTCAGCTCAGCTCTCTCAGATGAGGGGGCCTCATAGTGTCCTAATCATTGGTTTCTGAAACATGAAGGATTGATGCCCTGGGGTTCCTGTGACAGCCTGTTCTAATACATCCACATGTGTCTTCTGTCTTATAAATAATTTGGGGATGAGATAGTTTGGGAGATCCATTGCTTCATCATTATTACTGAGAGACTCAGAAGGGGGCAGAACTGATTTGAAGTTCACTGGCAAGTATGAAGTAGAAGCTGAATTAGAATCCATGTGCTCACTTTAGCAGCGCAGAAACAGAGAAGATTAGCACGGCCTCTGTGCAAGAATGGCACGCAAATTCATGAAACGTTCCATATTTTTAATATTTTAATAAACAATATTAAAAAAAGAAGTTGAATTAGAATCCAATCCCTTAATCTGAGGTGCCCTGCCATCCCAAACTGAGGTTGAACCCAGAGGCACTCTACCACTGAGCCACATCCCCAGCCCTTTTTACATTTTTTGAGATGGGTCTCACTAATTTACCTAGGATGGGCTTAAACTTGCAATCCTCCTTCCTGAACTTCCCAAGTAACTGAGATTACAGGCATGCAACTCCCCGCCTGCCCAGTTTATCAGCATATTTTTCTTTTTCTTTTTTTTTTTTTTTTTTAGATATAGGAGATTGAACCCAGGGGCACTCTACCACTGAGCTACATCTTCAGACCTGCTGGGAATTGCACGTGAGGCCTTGTGCAAGCTAGGCAAGCACCCTACCCTAGGCCCTTTCAGCATATTTTCACTCACAAATTTTACAATATGATAAAAATATTTTCCCTTGGTACTGGGGATTGAACTCAAGGGCACTCTACTGAGAGAATGGGGCAGAACTGATTTGAAGTTCACTGGCAAGTAGGAAGTAGAAGCTGAATTAGAATCCATGTGCTCACTGAGCCCTATTCCCAGCCCTTTTTACATTTAAAAACTTTAAAAAATATATTTATTTTTTAGTTTTTAGGACATAATATCTTTATGTTATATGGTGCTGATGATTGAACCCAGTGCCTCATGCATACTAGGCGAGCACTCTACTACTAAGCCACAACCCCAGCCGCAACATTTTTTAAATTTTGAGACAAAATTCTTGCTAGGTTGCTGAGGCTAGCCCTGAATTTATGATCCTTCTGCTTCAGTCTGTTGAGTCCCTGGGATTATAGGTGTGGCCAAGGAGCCTGGCCTGATGGATGGTTTTGGTTGTTGTTGTTGGTTTTTGTTTGTTTTTCCTTTTTCAATGCTAGGGTTTTATGCATGCAGGGCAAGTACTCTCCTACTGAGCCACATTCCCAGGCCCTAATGGACATTTTTCAAAAAGGAAAAACAAATAGTAGGGCTGGAGTGTGGCTCAGTGGTAAAGTACTTGCCTAGCATATGTGAGGTCCTCAGTTCTACTCCTAGCACTGCAAAAAAAAAAAGAAGAAAAAGCAAAAACAAAACACAAACCTAAAAATGACAGTCCCATAATTGCATTCCTGTGGTATTTGTTGTAATAAACAAACGAGCTTCTTCAATGGCTTAGTGCTTCTGCCCCTCTTTTTAGTTCTCATGTCAAATCATTCCCCTTCTCAACCTCCATCAATGAACTTTACTTACTCATCTCACTGTGGGAATTCTCTCCCGCAGTTCCCTCTGATGTCCCTAGAATGTTCATTCATCCCTTGCAGGCTGGCCCCTTGTGGCTACTCAGATCTCAGCCTATAGTTTTCCCCTAAAATGACTTCTGACTAACCCAATCTAAAGAAGCCATCAAGCTGCTTTCTTACCAAGTTACTCCAATCCCCGAGTACAGAGCACAGACATCTGTCTACTGTGTTTATAGTCTGGATTTTTCTTCCAAACATGCACACCTGAAGCAGAGACTGAGTAAATGTCATTTTTGTGCCAGATCCCCAGGGCCTAAGTCAGGTCCTAGTCCAGAGGAGATGCTCCAGAAGGGAAGGGATCCAGCACTCATGTATACCAGCTCAAATGCTGGTCACAGCCAAGAGGGAAGACCTGGAGACCCTTGTAAGGTATGGTGGGGACCTGAGAACCAGTAACTCTTAGAAGAATAAGGTGAGCCTTGGTTATAAGAGAAATGCTAGCAGAATTCCTAGATGGCTGAGATAAAAGTCTCCAAAAAGGGCTGGGGATGTGGCTCAAGGTGTAGCGCGCTCGCCTGGCATGCGTGCGGCCCGGGTTTGATCTGCAGCACCACATACAAACAAAGATGTTGTGTTTGTGTTCGCCGAAAACTAAAAAAAAATAAATAAACATTAAAAATTTTTTTAAAAAAAGTTTCCAAAAAAGCAGCACTGGATCTGTAATCCTTAGGATGCTGCCCTGGGGGTGCCTGACAAGTTTCTTTGCTGCAGCTGAAGGAAGTCAAACTTGGTATTAGAGTGCTCTATAGTTTCTAGTGCTGGGAGGACATGTGATATGACATGGCATGTGCACAGGCTGGCGCTCAGGAAAAGCTCAGAGTTCTTTCCTCCCCCACTCTGAGGCTACCTGCTGATCCCTGAAGCCCAGAGTTCCCCCCCACCCCCATTCGCCCTCGTGGGTCGAATACCTTCCGGTTATCACCATCTAGTCACAGGGCAGGTTCATTCCAGGTTGAAGGTGTACCAATGGTCATCCCTTGCTGATTTTAAGCTTCAAGCCCAGACTGATACTCTCCAGAGTGGCTTCAAGGAGGTTACCTGACTCTGTCCCTCTCTGCTGACCAAATGGCCCTAGCACCCAGGTTTGTCATTCAGAGTAGGGCTTTGAGGCTTAACAAGAAGCAAGGGCAGCTAAGTGCAGTGGCACACGCCTGTAATTCCAGAAACTTGGGAGGCTGAGATAGGGCTGGGGATGTGGCTCAGTGGTCAAGTACCCCTGAGTTCAATCCCTGGCACCAAAAATAAAAAAATAAAAAAAATAAAAAAAGAAGCAAGAGCTTATCTAGGAACTGAACTCGACCTCCAACTCAAACCTCAATTTGCTAGTTACTTACTCTTCTTAAGGACTCAAGGCTCAGGGGCCTGGTGGTGGGGCAAACCTCCCTCCTGCAGTGGAGGAGCCAGAAAGTCCAGTTAATGATCAGCCCCCAGGGCAGGGTCTGGTCCTTTCTTAAAGGCTTCTGTCTTTAGGCATTACTCAACATCTGGCCTACCCTTGTCCAGTCAGCTGGCTGAGAGGGCTTATAAATGGGAGGAAGGTGCTGGACAGGCCCTCTACCTGCTGAGGTCTTCAGTGAACATACTTCCTCCCAGGGAGTCACGGAATTCAGGTATGGCTCACTCATGAGCCGGGGAGTGTGCAACAGGACAGGAACAGAGGTCTCCTGAGAGCTGGTCTTTTTGCAGGCCCTTCAGAGCCTTCCTTCTTCCTTGGCTGATTTTCATCCAACTGCCTCTTCTGGATCCTCCTCCTCCTCTTCCTTAGGTCCAGACTTGTGGCATTCACATAACTTGGGCCTCTATTTTCTCTAAATTACTTCCTGCTGTCCACAGATTGGTGGCTCCCACATCTGTGTCCAGCCTAGGCACTTCCCCTGGGGCCACACACAGGCACCTGACAAAAGAGCTCCATGTTTCCTGCTGCCCAAATCTGTTCCCCCTGTTTCCCACCAGGGGTACCAACATGGGCTCAGAGGGTTGAAAAAGGAAAGGCTCTGTTCTCAGTTGGAATGAGGATGTAGAAGGAGCCTAAATTAGTTCAGGCTCTCAGAATCTGTCAAATGATACATGAGTCAGGGTGAGTGAGTGGATGAGTGGAGGGGGGCTTGGGCTCTTGAACAACTGAAGCTTTGATCAAAAGATTCAGAGTATGTGTGTCTTTGTGGCTGGATGTGGGTGATACCTGAGCTGGTAAGCTTGGAGGTTCTGAAAGTTAGGGACATGGGAGCTCCTTGTTTTCTGTAGCCAGCTTGGAGGGTGGAAACTATATTCTATATTCTTTTTCTCCTAAAACTCAGGTCTGATCAAATCTTGCAACCTCGAGCTACCAAGACCTCTTTTTTTTTTTTAAAGAGAGAGAGAGAGAGAATTTTAATATTTATTTTTCAGTTTTTGATGGACACAACATCTTTGTTTGTACGTGGTGCTGAGGATCGAACCCGGGCCGCAGGCAAGCGCTACCGCTTGAACCACATCCCCAGCCCCCCTCCTTCTATCTTTTCTTTCTTTTGTGGTATAAAGAATTAAACCCAGGGCCTGGGGATGTGGCTCAAGCGGTAACGTGCTTGCCTGGCATGCGTGTGGCCTGGGTTCCATCCTCAGCACCACATATAAAACAAAGATGTTGTGTCTGCCGAAAACTAAAAAATAAGTATTAAAATTTAAAAAAAAAAGAATTAAATCCAGGGCCTTGCACATGCTAGGTAAGTGCTTTATGACTGAGCTATACCCCCAGCACTTTTTATTTTTTAGGTTTTAGTTTTGAGATAGAGTTTTACAAAATTGCTGAGGCTGGACTTACACTTGTGATCTTCCTGCCTCAGTCTCCCAGGTATGTGCCACAACTCCTGGCTCTGCCCTGGTTTTCTGGATCTCATTTTTATCTCAACAGGACAGGGATGGTAGAAATGAAGGAGAGCATTTCAAGAGATCTTGGTAGCTCAGGTTGCAAGATTTGATCAGACCTGAGTTTTGGGGAGAAAAAGAGTTAAGTAGAGCTTGGGGACTGGCCTATAGGTCTGCATGTCCCCATGCTGGCAATTGAATTCGGGGCCTCACTCAGGTTAAGCAAAGCACTATATCACCAAGCTAAACCCCCAGCCCAGCCCTACAACTGCTAATCCACCACTTCCACCCTCGAGGAGGCCTCTCTGGTGCTCACGTGCAATAATTAACTGCTGAGTGGCCTTCGCCCAATCCCAGACTTTACTCCTGGGCTTCCTTCCCACTGCTTGTCTCCTAGGCCACTAAACCTCAGCTGTCCCCTGGAATAAGTCAAGAGGAGCGTGAAGCAGAGTAGAAGCCTAAGCAAATCTGAGAGCGCAGCGGCCTCTTCTCCCAGGTATGCCACTTGCCATCCCTTCATCAGAGGCCACACACCCTCTGGTACTCCTAGCATGTGATAATGTATTGGCTGAGCTTGGAGGGCCCTCTGTTTGCAGATAGCTCAGAGAATCCAGAGGTGGAGATTGAGCCCCAGATCAGAGCCTGCCCAAGGTTAAACTACATCCTTGAACTAGAACCCAAGGGCTCTTGCCCTTCAACCCAGCACTGGGTTTTCAGCTCTTTCTAGGGCCCCCAGAGGGGTGGGGGTGATGGCAGTAGTGGTGGGGATCACAGCTGGACCAGGTGAGACGAGGAAGGTGGGGAGAAGGTATGCAGAGGGATGTAGGTCACAAGAGAGGGAGAGAGAAGTGGCTTCAGAAAGCAGCCACAGTGAGAGTACAATCCAACAGGTCCAAGAATAGGGCTGTCTCTGCCCCCATGCTCAGCATTGTGTTGGTGTCCTCAGGAGAGCCTCAGCATGGGACAGGTGCCAGGGCCAAAAGCTGAAGGAGCTCTGGTCTGGACTTCAAGATGGGGAGTCAGACTTTGGTAGTCCCTGCTATGTGACTTGGGGCATGACCCTCAATCTGGGTCCAACAGATTCCACATAGGTTAAAGTGGCTATCATTTGGTATTGTTTAACCCCTCCCTCCACCTTTAATCCCCAGATCAGGAAACAGCGTAAGATAGTTTGTGTTTGTTTCCTTTGGACAGAAAGGGGTGGAGGGAGGGCCGGACCAGCCAGGCTGAACCTTTTCTGACCTGTGCTTTCAGCAGCCAGGCTTTGTTTCCCCTCAGGAGCCAGATCAAAGATTCACCTCTCAACAGTACAGATTTCCCCACCTGGCCTTTGAGTTTAGTAAATGAGTAGATCCACCCACAGAGGCACGATTGGACCCTGGAATGAATGAAATAGCAAGTGAGAGAATGCATGAACACTGGAATAAACAGAAGAACAGCATAAGGAATTGAGCAGGGAGGAAAGCTGGGCGGGAACTCAGCTCCAGGCTGACAAGAGCTCTCCCGGGGCAGTCAGCCTGGATACCCTGTGAGATGGGGCAACGCAAGGGCAAGCTGAGCTTGTGAGTGGGGAAGGCACACCCACTTTAGCAATCTGGTATGTGGAAAGTGGGTTTAGGAAGAAAGATGGAGAAGATTTGTGGGAAAGGAGCATTTTAGGAAGGCCCAGGAAGCTGGTGACTGGTGGAATGAGGGGAAGTCACCTCCCAAAATTTGATATCTGAGGTCAAATGATGGCTATGATGGTTGAGGAGAGGTCAGCTTTGTGGCAGGAGGCTCAGGAGTCTCCCCAGGAGTCCCAGGGTGTCTAGGAAGGATATATTGGATTAGCCCAAGGATAGATACATTTGGAAAGGGCTGGAAGACTTTAACAAAAGGAAAACCTGGGCATGGTAACTTATACCTATCATCCTGACTATTCAGGATGCTGAGGCAGGAGGATCACTTGAACCCAGGACTCTAAGGCCAGTCTGGGCAACTCATCAAGACCACAAGTCAACAAAACCCCTAGATCTGCAGCTTATTTGCAGATCTGAAACTAAGGTATTTGTAATCTTTTATACACAGTGATTTGGTGTCAAAATCTGACCTAAAATTAATGTGAGATCATATATAATTTTTTTAATCCCATCAGTATAACTATTTCATCAGGTATGCATAAATCCTATTAGTTTATATTACTATTTATAAAATTTTAAAAAAGGGGGGGCTGGGGCTGTAGCTTGATGACAGAGTACTTGCCTAGCATGCGTAATCACTGGGTTCGATCCTCAGCACCACATAAAAGTAAACAAATAAAATAAAGGCATTCTGTCCCGAGAAACTGATGTGACTCCATTTAAAAAAAAAAAAAAAAAAAAAAAAACCAGCCTCTACCTCAGAGCAAAGCCTATCCAGAGGGAGGGGGTGTGACCCTAGTCCTTGGAAAAACCCACAGAGCGTTACTAGGCACATAGCCAGGTGTCCCTTACTCAGTTAAGCTAGGTGAGGACCCGTGAGACAGGGAAAATACCTGAAATGCCAGGTGACCCTCCCAGTAGATTGATAACATGATTAGGAAACCCTGCAGTTTTTCATTTACACTCTTGGGACCCCTCACGGCCTAAACCAATCAGTTCAAATGTATTCACCCCTTGAACTAACCAATCACCCTTATCCAACTTGTTCCCGCCAATGAATGTGCTAATCAATGTTAAGAGTTGTTGTTTGATTTTCCCGCGGTATGGAATGATTTGCTGTGTGATGTTGTGACCATAGAGTATCCCCCCAAACCCATAAATCCTCACTGAACAAAGGACCAGGACTTACTCCCTGGGACTCCTGTGTCAGAAATGTTGTGAGTCCAGGCTCGATCTTGCAATAAAGACTATTGTGTGATTGCATCGGATTCAGGTCCTGGAGGTCTACTGGGGTCCAACGAATCTGGCATAACAGTCCATATACAACTACAAAAAAAAAAAATTAAATCCTAAAAAAAAAAAAATTAAAACATTTACCTCTAAGGATTTTGAATAAAGGATTGTGGATGTATGGCAAACTCTAAACTGTTTCTGCACATTGCCAAAGTCTTGCTCCTTGGTCACTTCATTTGATCCTCATTACCTACTGGAGAAGACAGAGAGGCTCCTGCCAGGAATGTTCCCAGTGGGTGGTGCCTAATCCACTTCTCGCTGGGTCTAGGAAGACAGGGGTTGGTGATCCACCAGTAGAGGCTCCACCCCGCTGGCATTGAGGCCACAACTTGAGGCTCCACCTCCACATTACTTGGTGCTACTGACCACAGTTCTTTCTTAAGGGATTGACATGGCCCGTCTGATGACAACACAGCTGCTGCTTCTTGTGTGGGTGGCTGCTTGGGGTGCCCAGCCCAGGACTACTCGGGCCAGGACTGAACTTCTCAATGTCTGCATGGACGCCAAACACCACAAGGAAAAGCCAAGCCCGGAGGACAAGTTGCATGAGCAGGTAGGTCAAGGGGTAAACCAGGGTGATACAGGGCTGGCTTAGGAGGAGGAGGTCAAAAGATGAGGTGTCAAGCTCCCCTCTGTGGTGGACACAGATAGACCTGCCTGAAGAGATCTTCAATTTGCACAAATGGGGGTGGCCGCTTACACAGGTTGTGTGCCAAAATGTCAGTAAAGTGCTAACAGCTCACCTTCTTGGTTGTTGAGTTTCCGCATTGCACCCAGGAATAAGGAAGTAGACCCAGAGGAGAGTCTGGGAAATGGAGTTGAAGAGACTCATTCTGGGGATTGGATTTGGATTTCTGGATTTTAATTGGGAAGGACTCCTCCACGGACCAAAGAGGAGAAGCTGTATACTATACAGAGTGGCTCCTTTCTGCCAGCCCTACACAGCTCAGGAAAGGTGGGCCTCTTGCAGCCAGGAAGCTGGCTGCCAAGTGTTTGGCTTCAGGCATCTGGCAAACATTTGTGCTATGGTTCTTGAACCCACTGGATCTCAGGTCTCCCTTTGACAACAATTATTTTGCCATAACCCCTTTCATATCCTGGATTTAGCTAAGCAGTGAAGACAATCAATATGACAGCATAACTACAAAGAAAAAGCAAAAGGCCAGCTACTTGAGAGGCTCAAGCAGGAGGATCTCTTGAGCCCAGGAGTTTGAGGCCAATGTGGAAAAGAGTGGGATCCTATCTCAATAAATAAATAAATAGGAAAAGAAAAAGGAAAGTAATCGTAATATGTATTTCAATATGTAAATGTTCATTTTAGTTCTATTAGCAGATAATGACCATAGTCCTTTTTACTCTTGTTTTGAATCACTGACCTACCACTGCCAAATGCAGACTGCCAAATCTTGGCTACCTTGGGCAGCCTTGACTTTAACTTACTCAGCCTTCATTTATTTATTATTATTATTTTAAAATTTTTTACTTGTTCTTTTAAAAATGTATGTTTTAATATTTTATTAAGTTCTGGGTCAAGGATTTTCATTCAGTCAACAAGTATGTATTAAGTGTTTATGTAATTGTTCCTAGAGTTACAATTTAGCTTCTTTCTTCACCTTCAGGTCTTTGTCACCTCCTCAATGAGGCTTAATTAAGCCACTGTGGGGCACTTGAAGTCACCATCCATTTCTCTTGCCTTTTTTTCCCCCCAAAGTAATTATTATGTGATAAGTGTTCATCACTAGTTTATGGTATGTGTGTTATGGGGGATTAAACCCAGGGCCTTGCCTAGGCAAGTGCTCTACTTCTTAGTTACATCCCCAGCCCCAGTGTTCATTATTGTATCCCTAGTTCCTAGACAAGTCCCTGGGTTAGGGTATGCAGGAGCTGTGTAAAGATTTCAATTAATGAATTTTGTAAGGACTGGGTTCCTATAGCCTCTGCGAAGCCCTTCCCTCAATGGGGACCCCTTCAACAAATATTTATTTTTTTGAATGACTTTGAAATTTTATTGGGAAATCAAGGACTAAAAGTAGGGAGGCTGCATATGCAATATTCTGACTGTGGACTCAGTTCCATGTCTCCCCCTGTGAAGTGCAGTCCCTGGAAGAAGAACTCCTGCTGCTCCTTCAACACTAGCCAGGAAGCCCATAAGGATATTTCCTACCTATACGGATTCAACTGGGACCACTGTGGAAAGATGGCACCTGCCTGTAAACGACATTTCATCCAGGACACCTGCCTCTATGAGTGCTCCCCTAACTTGGGGCCCTGGATCCAGCAGGTACGGGTGTCCTCCCAGCATCCCCAAATTAGCAGAGGAGCTGAGCTTTCCAGCCACCTCTGCAGGCTGTGCCTCCAACTCTGGTTCTATTCAGGGCTGAGTTGCACAGGTTCTTAAGCCTGAACCCTTGTCCATCAAAATCTCCTAGGTGGACCAAAGCTGGCGTAAAGAGCGGATCCTGAATGTGCCCCTGTGCAAAGAGGACTGTCAGCGTTGGTGGGAGGATTGTCAGACCTCGTTCACGTGTAAAAGCAACTGGCACAAAGGCTGGAACTGGACCTTAGGTGAGGGCTGGGGTTGGGACAGGGAGAAGGGATTCAGAGGTAAAGTTGTGGGGGTGTAGAGCTGGTATGTGAAAATTTTGGGTGGTGGGTTTAGTTGAACTAGAGGTGGTTCTAGGCACAGTAGCTAAAAGTCTTCTGTCTTTCCTATAGGGTACAACCAGTGCCCCGTGGGAACTGCCTGCCACCCCTTCCACTTCTACTTCCCTACACCTGCAGCTCTGTGTGAGGAAATCTGGAGTCACTCCTACAAAGTTAGTAACTACAGTCGAGGAAGTGGCCGCTGCATCCAGATGTGGTTTGACCCTGCCCAGGGCAACCCCAATGAGGAGGTGGCAAGGTTTTATGCAGAGGCCATGAGTGGGGCTGAGGTCCCCAGAGCCTGGCCTCTCCTGCTCAGCCTGGTCCCAATGCTGCTCAGGCTGCTCAGCTGAGCTTCTTTTATCTTTTAATACCTGGGGGCCCCACAGCTCCTAACTCTTCAGTTCCTGCTCCAAAGTAGGGCCCCTGAGAGCCTGTTTAAATAAAACAGATACTCCATATGTGTCTTGTGAATTATCTGGGTATGAATGGGAATGTGATTGTTTTGCTTCCTGATTCTTACTGATTGAGTTCAGTTAGCCTTGGTCAAAACCCAGCTCTGATACTTGCTGTGAACTAGCCAGGTACTTAACAACTCTTCTAACCTAGGACACATTCATAGCTCTCAATTTCATTTTTCATCACAGGTCTAATTTAGAGATAAACCTAGCATTTTACCATTTTAATTTGGATCCCAGCCTCCCAGGGCCGACCACTCTGTACTGTGCTCAGCAATACAATAGAAGAGGTGGGGAAAGGAGAGCCTTGTATGTTCTGTGTGGATGGCTTGGAAGAAGGTAAGAGAGCCAGCAAGAGCCATACCACAGACAGCTAATGCCCGCCCAGGACTGTCTGCCAGACTCTATCCTATATTTTGTATTTATTCTAATAAAGTGTAAATACTATTGTTTGCATTTTACATAAGCAGAAACAGTCACAAAAAATAAGGTATATGGATAAAGTCACCCTTGCCTGAGACCTGGGATTCCATCCAAGCTATCTGACTTTGGAGAACAAGCTCTTTTTCCGAGTGGAGTGAGTAAACATGTTTCTTGAAGGGATAATGGGTCATATCTAACCAGAGGAACTGGGCTTGAGCTAGTCTGGCAGATCTACGATTGGAAGCGAGACTTCTAGAGCAGGTCCCAAACCAAACATCTGAAAAGATTGTAGGCAGTTTTCCCACATTAAGTATAGTGTGTAACAGTTGTAACAAGTCAGTTTATATTACAGCAACATTCCTATTATCCAGCGGTTTAATATAACTGATATTTATTTCTTGCATAAGATACATTTTTTTTTTTTTGTATTGGAGACTGAATCCAGGACCTTGTGCCACTGAGCTATAACCCCAGCACTTTTTCTTTTGTTTTGAGCCAGGGTCTTACTGAGTTGCCTTCATTGGCTCCAAATTTATAATCCTGCCTCAGCCTCCTGAATAGCTGGGATTACAGGTGTTCACCACTATGTCCAGCTTCAAGCTACAATGCTTCAAGCTATATGTAGGAGGGATTTCACTTCTCATTCAAGGGGACCCAGATTGATGGAAGCTCTGTCTTGTCAACTATTTCCTTCCATGAGGTCAGAAAAGAGAACTTGGTAAATTCATACAGGCCCTTGAACTTCCACCCATCACTTATTTTGTTGGCTAAATCAGGTCATGACCATGTCTAAATTCAAGGAGACCAGGAAAACATAATCCTATCATGTGCCTGAAAGGAGAGGCAAATCACAAGGTTTGTGGTCCAAACTATGACTACTACAAAAACCTTGTTATCTTATGGTTAGTTTATATTTCTGGCATGGTCACAGTTACAAATTTAATTTTTCAAAGAGATCTTAGTAAGAAGGAAGATCAGCTCCTAAAACCTATGCAAATGACTATCAACCTGAAAAGTAGAGCAATTGCCGACTGCCACCCTGATCTTGTGACAAGGCCAATGGATGTATTATATTTTCTGTAGAACCAGTGTCTCCATTCACAAAAGTGACTTATTTACAATATTAGAACTAGTAAAATTTAAGATTAATACTATATCTATCCAATATACTCATAAGTGTCCTGTCATGCTATTTCTGAATCATTTATAAAAATAAAATACTTGTCTGGGCTGGGGTTGTGGCTCAGTGGTAGAGCGCTCGCTTAGCACATGCAAGGCCCTGGGTTCGATCCCCAGCACCACATAAGAAATAAATAAAATAAAGGTATTTTGTCCATCTACAACTAAAAAATTAAAAAAATAAAATACTTGTCTGAATCCAACTTACTGTATTTGCCATCTTCAAATTCTGAGGGCCATTGGCTTGCAGAATGTATTAATTCTTCACATAAAAATTGCCTAGAATATATAACAACATACAGATAGACATATAGATCAAAGGAACAGAACTGAGAATTTGGAAATAAATCCTTACATTTATAGTTAATTATTATTATTATTTTTGGCAGTGCTGGGGATTGAACACAGAGCCTCATGCATGCTAGGAAAGCATTCCTCCACCAAGCAACATCCCCAGCCCAAATAGTTAATTGATTTTGGACAAAGTTACTAAGATAATGCATTGGGAATAGGATAGTCTGTTCAATAATAGGAGGTGGGACTATTGTACATGTGAAAAGATGAACTTAGACCTTCACCTCACACCCTATATAAAAAATGAACTAAAAATGAACTATAGACTTAAAGGTAATAAACAAAACAATAACTTTTGTTTGGCACTTGTAATTGAATCCTAGGACACTTTACCACTGAGCTAATCTACAGACCTTTGAAAAAAATTTTTTTGTAGTTGTGTATGGACAGAATGCCTTGATTTTATTTATTTTTGTGGAGTGCTAATGATCGAACCCAGTGCTTCACACATGCTAGGCAAGCACTCTGCCACTGAGCTACAGCCTATAGTCCTTTAATTTATTTTTTTTGTGTGTGTGTGTGTGTGTGTGCTAAGTTGCTAAGACTTGCCTTCAACTTATAATCCTCCTGCCTCAGCCTCTCCTGTAGTTGGCATTAGAGATATGCTCCAACATACTCATCTTGAAGCACTAACACTTTTAGAAGAAAACAGAAGAACATCTTCCAGACCCTTGTATTAGGATTAGGGATTAAAATGGTATAGACCTGCGAAAAAAAAGCATGGCAGTTTCTCAAAAAAGCTAAATGCAAAACTGCCATACAACTCAGCAATCTCACTCTAAATATCAACTCAAGAAAAATGAAAATGTCCATTACAGCAAGACTTGCACATGCAATTTTCTTTTTTTTTTAAATATATATATTTATTTTTTAGTTTTTAGATGGACATAATGTCTTTATTTTATTTTTATGTGGTGCTGAGGATCGAAACTGGTGCCTCATGCATGCTAGGCAAGCACTGTACCACTGAGCCACCACCCCAGCCCGCAATTTTCATAGTAGCTGGAAATAACCTCAGTTTCCACTAACCAATGAATGACCACATTTGATCTATCTATACAAGAAAATACTATCCAGCAATGAGAACTAACGAACTACTCTATTGACACATGCTATATCATGGTCATCAAAAACATTATGTAAGGGGCTGGGGTTGTAGCTCAGGGGTAGAGCACTTGCCTAGAACGTGTGAGGCACTGGGTTTGATCCTCAGCACCATTTAGGAATAAATATAAAATAAAGGTATAAAAAAATTATGTAACGGAGGCTGAGGTTGTGACTCAGCCTTAGAGTACTCGCCTCGTATGTGCAAGGCCCTGGGTTTGATCCTCAGCACCACATAAAAATAAATAAATAAAATAAAAGTATTGTGTCCATATAAAACTAAAAAATAAATATAAAAATTATGTAATGGGACTCAGGGGGGGAAATTATGTAAGTGAGGGTGGTAAGAAACAAGAGATCTCAAAATGTAGGATTCCATTTATATGAAGTATCCAGGAGAGGAAAATTTATAGAGACAGATATTGGTGGTTTCCTGGGACTGGGGATGGAAATTGAGATTAACTGTAAATAGGCATGAGGAAGGATGAAAATTATGGAGGAAATGAAAATGTTATAAGACTCATGTATAATTAGTTTGCACCACTCATTGTAAACTTGAAAAAAGGTAACCTTTATGGTAATTATAAATAAATAATTGCCTATAAGATACTCTCCTATAGCATATAGGGAATTTTATATGATTCTGCATTTTGTAATGTGTACTGATGAAGAAAAGTATTTTAAAGAATTTAGCATTTGGGGGGCTGGGGATGTGGCTCAAGCGGTAGCGCGCTCGCCTGGCATGCGTGCGGCCCGGGTTCGATCCTCAGCACCACATACCAACAAAGATGTT